AAAAAAAACGACTGTTTTAGCTGCAAAATGGCGTTGGATTGGAGATGAAACACGACATTTTTTGATTTTTCTGCATTTTGGAGTGAAAAATGACATTTTCGGTTGGAGATGGTCTTATGGGTGTTGGCTATTTTATCACAACAGCCGATCCGTTTTTGCGTTATCATTTTCTCCAACAACTTGCTTAGTTTTGTCCATATATTCGTGTCAGTACTGCCCATCCCTTCTCCCCCAGCGGCTATCGTCGCTGATTAGTGAGGAGAAGGGACTAAATACTGGACCTTTACCCTAACCCCAGTCTTGCCAAAATGGAATCCCTTGGAGTTCTTTTCACGTATCCCGTGGACTCCTACCTGGAGGAGGAGCTCGGAAGGCGATGCAAGCTGTTCCGCCTCTGGGATTCACCTCCGGAGAAGCGAAAGGAATTCCTCCGGGCTAACTCCAGCCAGATACGGGCGGTGGTGGGAAGCGCCGTGGTGGGAGCCGACTCTGATTTGATCGACTCGCTACCGAAGCTGGAGATCATTGCCTCCTTTAGCGTGGGGCTTGACAAGGTTGACCTCGATAAGTGTAGGAAGAAGGGAATTAGGGTTACCAACACCCCGGATGTTCTTACGGATGACGTCGCAGACCTCGCTATTGGCTTGGCTATCTGCACCATGCGGCAGATTTGTCAGAGCGATCGCTTTGTGCGGAGCGGTGCCTGGTTGACCAAAGGGGGTTACCGGCTTACTTCTAAGGTAATAACCCGGTTGGCAATGGTTCTAATATTTCTTATTCTGATGAAACAATGTTTTTCACGCAAATGATGACATGTTAAAAGCTTCATTGTTACTGTTTTGTTTTGAGTTGTTGTATTACATGCTATTTCTCAAGCACTATTTGTTTAATTTAATATTATTATATTTAAAGATGTGAGCTTTTTTTAAGCAAATAACTGTTTCTATAATATTATATTTAGAGCCCATATAAACCTATTAAATTTACGCCCTTGCTTTTGGCCCATAATGTGTTGTTCAAAGTTGCTTCTTTTGTTTACACGAGTTATGGACTAGACTATTTTGCCAAATAAGGTAAAAAATGGGTCAAGAATGATAGTAATGAAGAAGAAAATTGACTGATTTATAATGTCTTAGCTAGAGAAACATGATTTGCTAAGATAATTTTGATTAAAAATCTAGGTTTGTAATTCCTTGTTATAGAATGTGAGGAATTTGTGTAGAAAAGAACTGGTTTATTTGTAGTAAGAGTGATTTGTGTAACTATACCAAGAGGTGGTTATCGATTCTATGTACTTATTTTCTCATATCTGTAGTTAGTTCTTTTGAAGTTAAGTTGACGATTGAAAAATATCTATCTTCAAATGATTTCTTTAGTTTTGTTTTGAAAGATGAGCAATTACTTTCCTCATGGCAACGGCGATGCAGGAGATAGAGTTTTAACTAAGTAGACATGGGAAGGAGATGTGTACGTACATCTTCATTGGCTAGTTGATGAACACAACATACTAGGCAACATGCTTGTCTTCAAGTTTTGCTCTATGGTGAACACAAAGATGCATGCAAGTATGGACCTAGGGTCCTAGACATAAAATGGATAAGCATAAATGATAGCTCGAAACCCAAATGTCGTCCATTTTTGAATGGCATCTATATGCTTACAAAATATAAAGTAGTTTTTGAATTTGTTATCTAAAAATGTTAGCAATCTAAGCGCTCAACTTCTTCTAATAACATTGCATGACATTATAATACCATATCACTTTTTCAAAATTTGAGGGGTTTAGCACATTGAATTAAAATCAAGCTTTGACGAGCTTTATTGAAAATGTCCACATAAAGGAATGATCATGCTATTTTTATGGTACTGAATGCATCACTTTTGCTTGTCATTCGTTGCTAAAACTTTTATCGAAGAAAATGCAGAAATGTTTGAAAAGCTTAAAACAATGTTTGATGATTCATAATGAATACACAAACTAATGAGATTCAATAACAATATTCACTTTCCTTCAATCCAAATTAAATGTTTATGAAATGTAATTGTTGTTGCTTCCTCTCTATTTGCTATGATACTATGTTCTTGGTAATGTTAATTGCTTAATTAGCTAATATCTTTAATGTTTCAATATTATTTTATTTAAATCAATAGATATCTAATTCTCAAGTTATTCGATCACTCAATCGTATATTCTACAATTAGCTGATCATTTTGAATCAAACAAACCATTTAATAGATAATAACAACACTTTGACAATGGGAAGTAATCCAAATTCACCAATTTATGCCTGTATCCAAAATTTCAAGTGGATAGGAATAATTGGATTGTCCTTGGACTGTTGTGTGCTTAACCTGAAATATTTAGTAGGTTGAAACAGCGGTGTACAAAAACCTATATACTTAAAGCAAAGTTTTTGTTAATCAAGTTAAGGGTTATCTGTGCTAATAAATTGATTATAAGATTTAAGTTTTCAGGCTTTCCTAGTAATCAGGGTTTCAATCAATGCTCAAATCAGACGAATGGGTGTTCAATCAAGTGCGTTGTAGTGGTGAGAGAGTGCTTAAGAGCCTAGAAAATACGAGAGAATGAATTTTATTAAGTAGAAAAGGTAGTGATTGACTGAATTTGCGCATGTAGACGGTGGATTTTCTCCTTGATTAGTTCTCTGATCCTATTCTCCTTGTTTGGCTGAGAATTGCTCTTCTCCTGTGGTTATGCACTGCAACTCTTTTAACTCTCTGTATTGGTCGGAATTAGAGTATTGGTAGGAATTAGGAAATAGGTTGGGAATTGATGAGGGTTAAATTAAAGGGAGATAGAGGGCTTGATTTTTAGGGTTGGATTGTAGTGTGGTCATTGGACACAATTTTTGAATATAGAGAGAGTGAGAGGGAGTGAAAGGGGCTGTTAGGTTAGGATCAATTATATCCAAAATTTACATATAATAATTGTGTTAACTTCAAAATAAGAAATCCAAATGCAAATTTATTTGAACCCCTTCAAGTGGCCAGTCGTCATGGATAGGTTTGGTGTAGATGTTGCATATTTTTTTTGCCTGATTCCTTCTTTCTCATCTTTTGGTGCTTAATTTTAGTTTCTTCCCATGTACGTGGCCAGCACCTCTTTTGATTGGATAGAGTTTGCAATTGAATATTCCTCAATATTATCTCGTGGGAAGCTTCTGAGATCCTCTGGATTTTTCATAAAGCTTCTCAAAAGTAATGGAAATTTTTCTCTGAATTTTTTTCTCTTAGAGGATTTGGAGCCTTCTAGGTCAGGAAATAATTTGATTTAATTTGATGCCAATAATATGTAATTATAAAGTGATGTCCTAATGACTAGAAGTGAACATTAAGAAAGGAACACAACCACCAAGGGTGAGGCTGTTTTGGTTTGTGGAATTGAAATGTTAGAATCCTTTCTCTTAGATGATTTGCCTTTTAAACAGGAACCTTCTAGATCAGCAGGTCATTTGACTTAATTTGATGCTAATAATTTGTAATTATGAATTAATGTCCTGACGAATAGAAGTGAACTTAAAGAAAGGAACACAAAAACCCTAGGCGAGGCTGTTTTGGTTCGTGAAATTAAAATTTTAGAATACTTGCTTGTATTCCCCAAATCCTGTTAGGAGAAGGATCGGGTTTGAACAAAACTTAAAATTTACAATCTAAATTTTTCCTCACTTTCTTGAACTTGCGTTTAAGTGTTAAAATTATGAAATTGAATGTTAAAATTATGAAATTGATGCACCCGGGCGCCGGTGCAGCGGCCCTTGCACACTTGTCACTGTATTCAGGCCATACAGCGCGTCGCTTCCAGGGGAGGCCCTAGCATTAACACAATTTCTTAAAGGATTCATGTCATTTTTGTTCGACAAGTTTTACGCTGGCTGTCGACTACCTAACGCAACCCTCCACTTTTCTCATCCAGGACTTGGGACCTGGCAACGGCAGTGTTAATGGACACATGGTAATTGCAAAAAATCCGTTATCTTACATCCATTTTGCTTCCCCTGTTTTTGCCTTGCTGAAGCGTTTTGTGTCCCAGAAAGTTGTGATAAGGTTAATGATGATGATTAGTGTCCCAGAGACTTATTTCAATTCAATTTTTATGATAATGGACACATGGTAAAAAGTAATGTGTGAATTAATTCTGGATTCATTGAACATGCTTTTAACAGTAGGACTTCTGCATTTTTTGGGCTCATGCTCTTAAACGCAAGTAATTACCAGGAAATTTTCCTAGATAGATCTTGTCCTATTTATTGAGCCATAGCATATTTTCATTTCATTATCCTTCTATTATTTTGGTCGCATCTGATATTAAAACAATGCAAATCTTGGCTCTTGAGAGGGTCTCCTCTACTAAAGATGTGGTCTCTTAACAAAAGACCACACAAATGGGCGGGTCACAATCGTTCTTGTTTCAACCCATCGAAACATGCTTTGCAATTCTACATGTCCAAGCATGCTTTATATGAGATGCTAGGCTTGACCAATGTTTAAAGGTTAAGAGCGTCGATGGCATCATCTTCTGAAACCCTTAACAAACTAGAAATTCATCATATTATTTAGGGGACATTTGTATTTTGATACTAATGAAAACCAAATAAGATATTCAAGTTTATACTAACTATAAGAAATCAAATTTATGAGTAATACAATGGAGTTATGGGAGAAAGTAATGGAACATAGGCTTAGAGTAATTGTACGTTAGCTTCAAAGAATCAGTTTGGTTTAATGTTAGGAAGATCTACTATGTATATGATTTTGATGTTAAGATAGTCCATGGAAAACTATTTAGATCAAAGCAAAGATCTTCTTTCAGAGAATTTTCATTGATTTTGAGAATGAATGTGATTGAATGCGATATGAATTTATTTTAGTGCACAAAGGGGGAAAGTTGAGTTAATCATATGTTAATGTTATTAAATATATGTATGATGGAGCATTAACTAGTATTAGAAGTAGATGTATGGCGTGACAAAAAAAAAAGTATTACATCAATGATCAATATTGAGTCCGTGTCTTTTATAATGAGGTGGAGACTCTTCTTCCGCTAAAGCCTAGATTAGTTGAGCGTATGGGCTCCAAAGGTGAAAGTTCTCTTTATTAATTCGTGGATTCTTGTTACCATCGTAGTTTTACAATATTCTTTGTGTTTCTTGAATTGTTTGGTTGATTGAACTTGCTCTACTTTGCCCCACCAAGTTAAAAACCACGAATTCCAAGGACCAATCTTTTGCTATAAGTGATAAATTTTACTTTGGGATTATTTGTTTAAATTGTTCTCATTAATTTCTTAAAGTAACTCCATCATCGCATGTACGTTTCACATCAATTTAGGCATACTAAGTATTAAGTCTAAGTGCTGGGATATATTATACAAATAAATAAGATTACAGACGAGGATATAATTTTTGGTGTCAAACATGGATAGTTAAAATAGAGAAATGTCTTAGCAATATAATAAAATAAGATGATATTCGAGGGACTCGTCAATCTTATAAAATCACAATCATGCTATCAATCTTGTATGGATTCTGAGTTTTGGGCAACAAAAAAGTTATTGACATCTATGTTAAACATGGAAGAAATGATAATGTTAAGTATAATGCGTGGAAAAATTAAGAAGAATAAATTAAACAGTATTGATTTTAGATGAATAATTTGAATGCATTTGTTGACCTCAATACATGTGCCTTAAAGTTAGTATTTGAGCGAGCTACGGTCCAAG